AGGAGGAGGAGGCGGAGGAGGAGGAGGAGGTGGAGGAGGAGGAGGAGGAGGAGGAGGAGCACTGTATGGCCTACCACACGACCTGAGGCCCATTCGGGCCAGAGCGGCTGTCAACGTCCGCCGGCTCCTGGCCCTCTTGTACGGTGCGCGGCCTCCCCTCAGGAAGGCTCTACGCGTGCAACTGCAACTGGGCCCCGTGGGCCCTCGCGGTGGCTGGCGGACCAGGGCGCTGACGAGCACCTGCACCTCCTCCGCTGACTCGGCCTCCCCGGTGCCCACAGACACGTGGAGGGCGTCCGGCCGCCGCGTCACCTCGCAGGCCAGGGCGCCTGGGGGCAGCGGCGACTCGCCGGGCTCGGCCGCCAGCTCCGCCGCCGTCGGGAGGCCGCCCCCGCGCGCCGCTGCCACGTCGAGCGCGCCGGGGCCGTGGCGGCAGCGGAGGACCCTGCGCGCGTACTGCACGAAGGGGCCCAGCGGCAGCGAGGCCGCCCGGGCGGCGCGCAGGGCCGCGAGGGCCCACTCCGAGTGGTACGCGCTGTGCGGCGCGAGCTCCTCCATGAAGCAGCAGCAGCGGCTGTAGGCGCGGGCGGCCCGCTCGTGGAGGCACTCCTGGCGAGACCAAAAGGCACCGACACCGCCACTCCCCAGACCTCTCCTGGGGCGCGCTCTGACCAGGATTTCGAAGCGGATCCAGCGGTGGCGACAAGGGCCTCCCAGGAGGCCCCCAAAAGGGGAAAACGGGCGGAAGGTAGCGGTATGGCTTCTTCCTCCTCTGAACTCCTGCTCCGCGAGCACGGCCAGGCCCACGAACGCAGGCATGAACGCCCCGCAGAGCATCCACGCGACGCCTGGCCCCAGCCTGCCGGCCGCCTCCTCGGCCGCCGCGGGCACGGCTCCGGCGCCCAGCAGCGCCACGCGGTCCCAGGCGAGTTGCTCCACGTCGGCGGCGAGCTGGGCAAACTGCTGGAGCCGAGGATCCTCAGAACGCGCGCCAGCGCCGACGTGTGCCGGTCCACCGAGGCGCTTCGATGCGACGCGGGCGGCGTCATGAGGTCCGACGCGGGCTGCGCGCTATCAGCGGAGCTGGACGGGGAAACACAAACACACAAACACACACACACACACACACATTTGGCTAACGCGCGTCCTGAGGCTCATCGATGGAGGTCGGCCGCGCCGTCCAGCCTCGCGAGGAGGGGCTGCGCGACGGGCTCCGGGAGCAGGGCGTCCTCGACCAGGCAGCGGTCGTCGGCGATGCGGAACCCAAACCGCGCCTCGAGAGCGGCGCGACGCTCAAAGGCGGGCTGCATCACCGACACGTAGCTGTCCGTGATCTCGTCGCCCTTCTGCAGGCGCCGCGCCGCACGCACGAACATCGTGTCCCCCAAGAACACCCTGGCCGCGGAGGGCCTGCTGGGGAGACCAAAAGGCACCGCTACCACTACTCCCCGGACCTCTCCTGGGGCGCGCTCTGACCAGGGTCTCGAGGGGAACCCGGCGCTGGCGACGAGGGCCCCCCAGGAGGCCCAGAAAGGCGAAAAACGAAGGAGGGGCAGCGGTATGGGTACCTTTTCTTACTTCGGGAGCGGCCAAGAGGGGGGGGGTCCAAGAGGGGGGGTGCAAATCATGACCGGCGGCGTGTGCGCGGCCCAGCGGGGGGGCCAGGGACGCAATGAAACAAGAAGAGGCGCCATAAGATCTGGGAAATGTCATGGCCCACGCTCCCTCCTCCTCCCTCTCCTCCTCCTCTCTCCTCCTACCCTCCTCCTCCTCCTCCTCCTCCTCCTGACCTGCACGAGTGGTTCACCAGGGAGCCCAGCAGGAACAGCCCGGAGCCCGCCGCCTCGCTGGGCGGCCGCGGCGCCCCGGGCCCCGGCGAGTCGAGCTTGTGGGCGTTGGCGTCCAGGATGGCCTGCACGGTGCCGGGCGGCGCGGCCGCGCGCGCCCTCGTCTGGGGGAAGAGAAAAACACGTCACGAGCACGAGCTGCCGAGGGTCCGCGCGGAGCCCTCGGACTGGCGCTCGGCCCCCATGGATAGGGGGCCACATGCGAACCCTACCCCTACCCCCCCACGATTTCTGAGGTGAACCCCACCCTCCCCCTCAGAACTCGTGGGGGGTAGGGGTAGGGTTCGCATGTGGCCCCCTACTGGACCCAGCGCCGATCTGAGCCAGCCCGCGCAGACCTCCGGAGGTTTGCGCGGCAGGTCCGCGTCGTGACGACCGCGGCATCGGCCCTTGACACCGCGCGCACGCACCGCTCCGCCTGGAACGCTCGGCGGCGTGTCGATCGCCAGATCGTCCCTCATTGGCCGATGCTGGGGAAATCAACAAAGAGAGCGATACCACTACTCCCGGGACCTCTCCCGGGGTGTCTTCTGTACAGCAATTCGAGGTGGATCCAGCGGTGGCGACAAGGGCCTCCGAGAAGACCGAAAAAGGCGAAGACGAAGGAAGGGCAGCGGTATGGGTACAGTAGGGGCCCGTCTACAAGAAACGTTCCACAAGAAACCCAACCCTGAGAACCCAGGGCGTCCAGTGATTTTTGGTGTCGGAACGCCACGCCGTCCACAGCACAACCATCGAAACCCCAAGAAACCCAGGGCACCCTGGAGGCAAGCAGGGTGCTTCTGGGCATGGGCCCCCGCTGTGCCCCACTCCTCCTCCGAGATCCTGGGCCACTCGCGGCGCTCAACCTCGAGCGCCCGCGGCAGGGTCGCCGCTGGCGTCCATACGACGCGACCGGGGCTTCCTCTTCCCCGCTGCTCGCCCGCGCCCTCCGCGCGCGGGCGCGCGCGGAGGCGCGGCAGGCGGGGCGGCGTCCGCGTGCCGTCGCAGAGCGCGAAGAAGGCCTCGCGCTCGCCCTCCTCCCTCCTCCCTCCTCCCTCCTCCCTCCTCCCTCCTCCCTCCTCCTCCCTCCTCCTCCCTCCTCGCTCCTCCTCCCGCCCTCCGCCCTCCTCCTCGACAGGGGGCACCGGCCGCGCTTTCCGCCCGCCGGCCTCGCGCTCCTCCTCCGAGCACCCGGCCAGCGCCCGCAGCGTGCCCCGCAGGAGCGACGCGGCGGGGCCCACCGCGAGGGGCCTCAACCGCGCGCTGTGCTGCCAGACGGCGCTCCCGGTCCGCCGCGGGCGTCCCCCCCGGGAGCTCCGACGAAGGCCCCCACCGAAGGCCTCCCAAATTAGAGGCCTCCTGGGTGGGGTCGGAGTAGATGGGGTCGGAGGGTCGCGCCGCATCGCCGATACATCGGCGATGCATCGGCGATGCATCGGCGATGCATCGGCGATGCACTGGCGATGCATCGTCGACGTCGGCGGTGCGTCGGCGACGTCGACGTGAAGCAAATCGGGCTGCACATCGAGCCGCATCGGCGATGCATCGGCGATGCGTTGCGATCCTCCGACACCATCTACTCCGACCCCATCTAGGAGGCCTAGACAAATGGGGTCCGAGCAGAAGGGGTCGGAGCATCGCGTCGCACCGACGATACTCGGCGACACGCAAGAACGACCCTGGGTAAGAGTGACCTTCAGTGCGCGGACTGAAGGGGGCGCAGGGTGGCCAACTCCAGGGGCGCAAGCGACCCCTATCGCATCGCGCTCAGCGGTCCTGGAGACCCCAGTGAGCCCGCACAAAGGTCACTCCGGCGAAGGGTCACTCTCACGCGCTGTGAGATGCATCGACGATGCATTGGCGACGTCGGCGATGCGTCGGCGACGTCCACGTGGAGGACATCGGGCTCCACGGCGAGCCGCATCACCGATGCATCGGCGATGCGGAGCGATTCTCCGACCCACGGCCTCAAGAGCCGAGACGAATCCAGACCCCCTCGCGTCGCGGAAAAATCACGACGGGGGGATTGTCGCTGTTCTCGGCCTCCGGGGGCCCTTGCCGGGCCGGGGGACCTAATTATAGTAAACGACCCAGGATGGAAAACTGGTCCCAGGAAGGGGTCCAGACCTCTGGGGGTCGACGTTGCAAACAACAAAAAAAAACGCCGGCGACCTGGGAAGGCAGTATCGAAAGAAAATCGGATCCATGTACAAATCGAGAATCTCTGAGGGTCGGCGGGTTCGGAAGCTGTATCGGGCGCCGTGGCCGTTTCAGAGCGTTCGGGGACGCTCTAAGAGCGTTACAGAACGCTTTGGAACGGATGCACCTCGATCCTGGGCCCGTCCGGAGAGCACCCCTCGCGAGGCCCAGAGGGCGCCCGAGGGGGAACGCCAGGGGAGGACCGCCTCTTTGGGGGGGGGGGTGGCATCGACCTGGAATCGGCGATACATCACCGATAGATCGGCGACAGGCCCCCGATAGCGAATCCGCAGGCTCCTGGTGGGAGGGGCGGGCCCATCGGGCCCCTGAGGGCGATGAATGGACTGTCGGGGGTCGATGCGTGCCCCCCAAACCTATCCCTACCTATAGCGTTGCCCCGGGAGCCGAGCTCCACAAAGGCCCGAAAGAACTGGGGACACCCTGGGCCAGGACAACCCCTGGCAGCACCCGGCCTTCTGTGGCAGCTCCTGGGAGCCTCCCACACCGTCTAGTTGGCCCTTGCGCACCGGCGCCAATCGACGCCAAATCTTTGGCAGTCGGCGCTGCTCGACGCTACATCGGCGCCATCTCATCAACTACCAGGCCCTAATCGACGTGAGTGCACCCCCAATGAGTACCGTTTATCCGATGCCCATCCCCAGCGGCGTGGCCTGGGCCCCACTGGCCGATTTACCCCCATGGATGGGGATATGGGCCGTTCCCTTCGGGTTGCGAGGGGTGCATCCCCAACTAAAGGGGGTAATTTGGTGGGGCTCTCGATGTGGATGGGGATGGGGATGGGGATCGGAGAAACGACACTGACCCGAGGCGGAGCCGCGAGGGCACACGAGGCTCCCGGGAGAGTGGCCACCGCAGCGGCCTGTTCACGAGGAGCAGCTCTCCCGGCTCGCAGTCCCGCGCCGCCACCAGGCCCCGCCCCTTGCCGGCCACGAAGGCGGCCTCCACGGGCCCCACAAACTCGGGCACCCCGGCGGGGTCGCCGAGGCGCAGCGCGGCCAGGGACGCGAGGTCGTAGCCGCCCGGGTCGGCCCGCTCGCCCTGCGCCCGCATCGGCGGCCACCCGCCGCAGGCGCCTCTCGGAGGTGGCGCGCTGCAGCCCACGGCTCGCCCAAACTCTGAGCCGAGGCGGCCACGTGCGGACGCGCGCGCGTGCATGCGGCGGCTGCAGGCGTGCGCTGTGTGCGCCAGTCTGTGCGCACGCGCGTAGCCGAGCGTGCCTGTGTGCAGCCGGGTGCGCGTCGGCCCCAGCACCCACGCGTACTACGGCGACACGGGTGTGCGGAAGACGCGAGCTTACTGAGCCCATGAACCTGAGCACGCCACCAAAAGTTGCTGCGCACGAGCAGGTGGAGAGCGGTGGAGCAGGCAACGCAAACCTCCGAGGCCCTCTGGGGACCTCCGGAAACCTTCCTCCCCGATCCTTGGACCTGTCAAGGGATCGGTTGTGACCAGAATTTGGACACCGATCCTGGCGGCGAGAATCTCCCTGGAGGCAAAACAAATCCGCTGGCCCCCCTGGGGGCGACAGGCTGTGGAGTCTCCTGCTGGGCTGCATATCCTTCTATATGTTGTCTCATGTTGCTCAAATCCTGTCTCGGGGATCCACTGACCCGGGTCCATGTAGCCCCTAGGTCAGTCAGGCTCTGCAAAATCCTGCAAAATCTGGCGCTATGGATGACCCCCGATTGCATTGGCCCCCGTCTCTTGAGCCCCGACTGTCTCCGTTGCACTGCGGTTAGGTCGGGCGTGTCCTCCTACAGGCGGACTTTCGACGGAAAAGAAAAAGCATGATCGACCCACGAACCCGGAAAAGAATATAGAAATGTAAAACATAGTAACGTTCCAAAGACACCTGATTGGGCGACGGGCAAATGCAATGCTTAGTGTATCGATCGTGATGTACCGTGCCGAGGGCTAGGCTGTGCAGCGCCGTGCTGAATCGCGATGTGCCATGCCACGATTGTGCTCTATAGCGTTGTGGATCGAGTCCTCCTTGCATCCGAGTCCTGAGCGAACTGATCTGGATCTTAAGCTCGAGCTGCCTGAGCATAAAACTAGTAGCTGCCACAGAGCTGATTGACAGGGGAACATGCCAGGAGGACGAGCCGCGGAAGGCGACGTGACAGGGGACGTGCAATGGGGACGCACCGCGGGACGTGCCAGGGGGACGCGCTACGGAACGTGCCAATGGACGTGCCACGTGCCAGGGGACGCGCAGCGCGACGTGCCAGGGGGACTCGCCACGGGACGCGCCACGGAACGTGCCAAGGAACGTGCCAAAATGCAATGCTAAGTGTATCGATCTTGATGTGCCGTGCCGAGTGCTGTGCTGTGCTGCTCCGTGCTGAACTGCGATGTGCCATGTCGCGATTGTCCTCTATAGTGTTGTGGATCGAATCCTCCGTTGCATCCGAGTCCTGACAGAACTGACATGGATCTTAACCTCAAGCTGCCTGAGCACATAGTCCATATAGTAGCTGCCCCAGAGCTGATTGACAGGGGAACATGCCAGGAAGACGCGCCGCGGAACGTCCCAAGGGACGCGCCAGGCGACGTGCCAGCACCGCGGGACGTGCCAAGGGGACGCGCTACAGAACGTGCTGGGGACAAGCGTCGTGCTGGTGGCCTGGACACGTAAAAGCACGGTGCCAACTCGGAAGAACTATGTCAGATACCCCCTGGGTGGCCTGACCACGTAAAACACATGGTTCCAGCTCGGGACAATCATGTTAGAGATCTCCCTGGGTGGCCTGCGCATGAAAAAACACGTGGTTCCAGCTCGGGGCAGCCATGCTAGATACCCCCTCTGCGTGACCTGGATACGCTGAATTCGAGTTCCCGCTCGAGACATCCTCACGATGTCTTCCCTGGAGAGGCCCCCAAAGCGCAACCCCATGTTCAGAGAAAGAAACCATCACTTTTCTGTATTGGGACATGTGTTTGGGTAGCGCTTTTCGGCCCCCCGTGCGTTTCCTCATAATTCGCCGTTGGGCCCGACGCCATGTTAGATACCCCAACTCTGCAAAACCAGCGTTTCGCTCGAGACATCCTCAACAAATTTTGAAAAACAAGCGTTTCGCTCGAGACACCCCCCAACTCTGCAAAAACCAGCGTTTCGCCCCAGACAGTGTCAACAAATTCAGAAAACAAGCGTTTCGCTCGAGACATCCTCAAAATCTAATCCGTCGGCTCACCACGACCTCGATAATTATCAAGAAAAAACTCCGCTGGGCCACCTCAGTCATGCCACGGGGGACATTTGACAAACTATTCCGGGAATAAACAAAAAATGCAAAAATTAACAAACCAAATGAAAAGAAAAGTCGTCCCCAGACTATTTTGGAACTATTTTTGAATATGCCTCCTCTAGAGGGACGTGCCCGACTCAGCACTGGGGCCCGGTGCGTCAAACCAAACCTCTCAGGGGGTGTGCTGCCTCAAACTCGTGGCCAGCCGAGGTTGCCCATGGACTACCAGGTGGGCGCCAACGCACGGCTGGCAGGGCCCAACGTCTCGAAGACGAGCCCGTTCTTTTTGTGATTCGCGACAGCGCCCACTGCCGACCCCACCCCCCCGCTCCCCCCCGCTCCCCCCGGTGGCGTCACGACTCGCGCCGGCGCCGTCTGGCGAGTAGCCATAGCTGGGCATTCCCAGCCGGCGCTGGCGCGAATCGAGACGTTGCCCGCGGCCCACCCTCCACTCCCCCACTGCAGCGCCCGTTATCGCCAAGGGAAAATCATAATCGACGCACGAACCCCCGGAAAGGGATTTAGAATTGCAAGGCTTGGGGACGCGTCTGGGCGATGGGCGGTGGCAATACTGAAAATATCAATGGTGCTGCTACTGTGCCAGGGGCTAAGTTGTGCTTCTCCGCGCGGTGCCGCACCACACAATGACGTGCCAGGATGCGCGCCACGGAACGTGTCACCAGACGTGCCATGGGACGTGCCAGGGGGACTCGCCGCGCGATGTGCCGGGGGGACACTCCACGGGACGCGCCAGGGAACGTGCCAGGGGGACGCGCCACGGGAGCTGCCAGCGGACGTGCCAAGGGGCGCGCCAGGGCACGTGCCAGGGGACGCGCCGCGGGACCTGCCGAGGTGAGGCGCCACGGACCGTGCCAGGGAACGTCCCCGAGGGTCACGATCCTTGCTAAATCACGCTGCATCCGCGCTCCCAGGGCCAAGATCCCTCGTGAATGACGCTGCGTCCGCGCTCCCAAGGCCGCGAACCACTCGCGGAGGTTGAAGAGTCCTCCCCCTCTCCAGAGCAGAAAACAATACTTTTCTGCATTGGGATATGTATTCGGCTGGCGCTTTTTCGGCCGCCCTGCTGTTTCCTGAAAATCCGGCGCTGGACCCGAAGGCTCTGCTTCGTACATTACGCCACGTCCGCGCTCCCAAAGCCGCGATCCCTCGTAAATCACGCTGGGTTCGCCCTCCCAAGGCCAAGAACCCTTGCAAAATACACGGGGTTCGCGTTCCCAGGGCCGCGATTCTGTACAAAGTACGCTGGGGCTACGCTCCCAGGGCCACGACCCTTGCAAAGTGCACGGCGCGCTCCCAGGGCCACGATCCATCGGAAATAACGGTGCTTGCCCACTCCCAGGGTCACGATCCCTCGCAGAGTACGCTGCGCCCACGCTCCCAGGGCCACGATCCCAAGTAAACTACGCTGCGCGCGCCCCCATCGAGGACACGATCCCGAATAAATTGCGCTGCGCCTGCGCCCCCAAGGCCACGGCCCCTTGTGAATCACCCAAGACCAAGACCCAGTGTAAATCCGACGGCCCCCTTGCGGGGCCATCAGGCTCCGCGGCTCAGGCTTGAATGCTGCTCCCTACTCCAGTTCCAGTTTCCGGTCTCCGACGTCACACCAATTCTGCGCGCTGCTCCCTGCTATGACTTGCTGAAGTCCGCGCAGGGGGGGCAATTCGAGAAGGGCACTGGCTGCCTTCACTTGGAGAGCTTCTCAAAATTTCTCTGGGGCCCTGAGACACAGAACAAATACTTGAGACTCGCGCCCCCGAAGCCATATCTTACCAGCCTGGAGCATATCCCTATCCCGATGCTGGGCATCTCCTCATCACCATGCCAATCTTAGGGATTCCCTTAGTTTTGATGGGCGCACCCTTAAGATTGTCATCGCCTTTTGGCGTGTCAATCTTCGGGATAGGGACAAGTTCGAGGCTGGTAAAGATCCCCTTGTAACATACGCCGGGCTCGCGCCGCCGAGGCCACACTCCTTCGTTGAGTGACGCGCTGCTCGCGCCCCCGAGGCCGTGAGCCCTCGCGATAACACACATCACACATCACACGAAAGTAGAACGAGCACGAAGATGTACGGTAATTTTGTTCTAACCCTCCCCAGGTTCTCCGAACATCCTTGAGTTACTCGCCCAAGCCTTCTGTAACGCTTTGTGAATCCTGCAGTGGCGGCGGATCCGAGCCTCGAAAACGGCGGCGGGCTCCACCGTACTACCGCCCGCTCGCTTCTGAGAGCGAGTGTGCAAAAACGCTTCACACACACACACACACAGCACGCAGATGCACGAGGACGAGCGCGCCGAACCCGTCCCGACCACATCCGACGCACCCTCGCCCTCGCTGCCTCCCAACGCGAGGCAGCCGTGCCGAGCCGCGCGCAGACCGCCTCGGGCCCGAGCACGCACCGGCACTGTGTGTGCCAGCGCGTGCCCCAAGGCACCCGGAGCCCTGCAGAGAAGGCGCCCGCCCGGAGAACTCGGGCGGCCCCCGCTCGGAGCTCCGGCGCTGCGCTTCACGTGACGTCGCGCGGACGTCCGTGTCCCGTGCCTTTGTCGGCTTCGTGCGTGTTTTTTTTTGCTCTATGTCGGTTTCGTGCATTTGTCGGTTTCGTCCTCGATGTCGTTTTTTTTTGCTCTATGTCGGTTTTTCGGTTGCGTGCATTTGTCGGTTTCGTCCTCGATGTTTCTCGCCGAGGAAAAAATGCACACGTCCGAGCGATGGCAAGTTCAAGACGGCGCCCGGGCCTCTCCGCACAGCTCCTGCACACTACCCGGTGCTCCGAGA